ATGTTTTTTTAATGTTTATCTAGAAATAATACATAATTTTCACAAATGTTATTTAATTTCTAGATTATAATGAACATTTTTATCTAAAGTAGTTCATAATTTCACAATATTCTCTTAATTTTGTCTGCCATATCATTATTAATATTTTTTAAATTTCGACCTCAAAATTGAAACAGGTTAAGTCAAAAACCATAACCACTTTAAACAATTTTTGGTAAATTGGAGTTACATTTCAAATTTTAACCACGTGTTAAGAATTTCTCCTCCCTCCTTCTGAAGGGCGGAAAATGAAAACATTGCAGTTTACTGATACTACAATGATATCCAAAAAAATTAAAAACAAAAAAGCCGTACTTTCATATGCGTCTTGTTAAAAAACATACATTAATTGACTGCCACCTTAAAACCCGTAGCCATTTAAGAACTTAGCATAAGATAGTTGCTACTCCGAATCCAGTTTATTAAATAATTAAAATAATTAACTGCAGGTTTCACTGTTTGACTTTCTTTAAAAAAAATATTTCTGAATAATGCCACCCCAATCTTACCTTTGTTCGGAATATTTGTCACACAATTTATATCAATGTTGAGCATTATACTGCCTTTCAAAACTTAAGGTACAACCTGTTTTCTGTTTTTTCTTTTAAAATGAATAGACATAGAAACTAAATATTTAGAGGAAATGCTCACAAAGTTTTTCTTGATTGTCAAATAAATATTCAAATAAATTTCTACACAAATATAATCTACAAAAGCAGCTTAGAGCTACAAAGCTACAAAGCTTTAGCAGCTACAAAGCCAGCTTAGCAGAAATGTACCTTCTCATAGGAAACAGAGCAACAAAGTCTTATGAAGAAAATTCTCTTTAAAATATTATAAAAGCTATGAATGTATCCATGACTTACTACAATGCAGTGATGGCATCATTTTTCAATGCTGCCAATTAAATTGTCGGGAGTTAAATGAAGAAAGCATGAGATATGGAGTACCCCTTGTACCTGCTCATGTCATAACTGAAAAGAGGACTCAAAGCAGCAACTTATCCACCAAGGTAGTTCAGAACATTTTCTAGTGAAATAAGGCCTAAAGATTTGACTTGACGATCCCTTCGGCGAATATTTTAGCATCCCGAAATTCCTCGTCGACATGATAGGGCTTATGTGGCAGCGTGCTGTCACCCATTAAAATGAAATAATAACCACCCAAATTCGCAAATAAAAAACCTCTGAGCTTCAAGATCAAATCTCTATATTTAAAACCAGTAATTGAGTCTCGATTAAAAATTTAACGGGGATTATACAGCCATTAAACATGATGCAGATAATTAAGCTTTTTCTTCCATCATGGTCAGTGTATTGAAGAATCCCTTGCTCTCTCTACATCAAAGTATTAGTTTTTGCCTTCCAGTGCTTAATAAATCAACCATAATGGAAGCGATTGTTTGATAGTCTAGGAAAGCATCATGTGGGACGACCGCATGACCCCCCATGTATTTGAAAGAGGCATTGTGCCTGGTTTGTATATAGAGACATATTTTTAAATTCCTTAGTTTTCTCTTTTAGGAATTCGGTTGTTTCTGATTTTGCTTAATGGACAACAGCGTGCTGCTAAATAGACAGCATTACGCCATGGATTTTCTAAAATGTTAAGATATTTGTTGGAGTGATTGAATAGAGAACCAAATCTCCAGACCTAAATACTTCAGAGAATATTTGAGTCTATTGGTAGACAAGTTGTTGATAATTGATTCATCGTCCCCCGACAATTTAGTTAGCAGCATGGAATATTAGTTTCACCAAGCATCCAGTGCATCCTAATTAAGAGTGGATACTTTTTTTTCAAACTAGAACACATTCCTGTTTCTAAAGCAATTTTCGTTTAAAACTGAAATGCACTATTTTCTTCGAGAAGGAACATTTCCACTAAGTTTTTTTCCTTTGTTATAAATTGTTTGCGTTCGAATATATTTAAATTTCTGTGTGGCAACAAAAGTAATAAAACTGTTTAGTGAACAGTTCTTTTAAGTTTCGTGTTCCTTTGGTCCTATATTAATCCGTTTTCAAATTAGACACAAGAAACAGGTTGAATCTTCACTTTTTGATTGGAGTGTATTTCCAAATTGCCTAAATATACCAAGCGACAACTGACACCTAAAATTTGAATTATTTCTTCTGAACAAAGGTTAGTTGTAGAGCTGTTTCAAAATTTTTCCACATATTCAAAAAAAGAAGTAATCTGCAGTAAAAATGAATCAATATAATAGTTAATATTTTCAACCGGTATATCATAATATCTAAAGATTTAGTATTATGTATTATCTGAATATTTAGAATAATACAGAATGAATCTGAATTCGTCATTAATATTCTATTTTATAACTGGCGTTGACTAGCAGACTAATTTTCGGATTTCTGGCAGTCAATATTCAACTTCTTAGTCTTATAATTTTAAATCCAATCCGGAAGACAAGCAAATTCCTGGATCAAGATTTGAGACAAATTCGCTTTTTTGATCAAACTAAACCAGCTGTGCAATGCATGGAGATGAAAACCATGGAAACCTCACTTAATTGTCTCGATGTCAAGGAAACTCTGACCCATTATCAGTCTACCACTGGGGATACTTTTCAACAGCACTGCTGTTGATGGAAGCCGGGAGCAATATTCGAAATGACCAGCTACCTCTGGGATTCGAACTTGGGTTGTCTCATTAGGATGTAAATACTCTATCCCCATAGCCATCGTAGCCTCATCGCCGATAAGTAGGAAGGAAGGGCACGTCATAAAGATTGATAATTGCACTGGAACTAATAACTAAAAATGCTATCCTACGCCGCTGGGTCGTCTCACTATTATGAATTGGCTGCTCCTGCGTATTTGAAACGGTACTTATATTTATTTAAATTATCTCAATTTTATATTGATTTTGCGTTTTCTATTGATCATTGCCTAAATTTCATTTAATTGGGTCAGAAGCATTTGTTTTACCGTAACGTACCGATATGCGATGAAATCAGCGATATCTGAGTTCGTCGCTTAATTTTCAAATAACGATAAACTAGCTATTTTTCAGCCTATTTGAATGTATTTTCAGACAGTATATGCAAGAAAGATTTCCTGTAACTATAATAGTTGCGAGAAAACTCTAAATTTAGATTGAAGTCAGATTGAATAATTAAGAATGCCGTTTCAAATCATTGGGGAGACGGCGTGGAATGACATTATCGGTCATAAGTTGGTATGTATTTTTCATTCCTTATGATGTGCCCTATCTCCCCACCAAATATTAATGATGAATTCAGAATCACACAGCATATTATCTAAGTAGAATGTATCTAAGTATTCCGAAATAAAATAAAAAGTATTTTTTGTGTTAACTAGACTTGGTTTCTTCAATTTCTTTTTAGTACAAAAGAAGCAAAAACTAAGAAGAATTTAGAAAAAGTAAAAAATATCTAGAAAATATATGAAATTAAAAATAATATTTACGAAAAAAATATTCGAAATTCATTTATTAATTATTTTCTGTCGAAGAAAAAGAGTTCTTCGAGATAAATACATAAATTCAATATTTATACAAAGATAAAGTTTTGTAATTTTCTACATAGTCCCCACATCCAAAATTAATTGAGAGAAAAATATCTTATTATGAATGCAGGTGTGCGAGCTCTCATGTGTTGTTCTAGAACTCTTATTATAGTGTTTTTTTATCGGTCAATCAATTAAAACATTGTACACAATGACATTTACATGAAAGACAAAGACATTTTATTTATCTTTAAAAAATGTTTTAAAGCTTTAACTTACAGAAAAACTGAAATTTGGCACTGCCATAATTAAAGACAAAATCTTTTATAATATAAGTTGAAAATTATTTAAATAAATACAATCATTTTAGAAAACAATTACATGAGGTTATCGGAAAATCTCTTAGCGATTAATGTTTGCTATTGTTCACGATTTGATAATTATTTTAAGTTATAGTATAGTAATATAATATTATAATGCAATGTAATGTAATATAATATAATATAATATAATATAATATAATATAATATAATATANATAAATTTGTGATTTTTGATTGAAGGAAAATTAAAATAAATATTCAAAGTTTACAGAGTTCAGAGTTGTTAAAAATTTTTAAATTTTTTTTAAAATTTAATTAATATGTTAATGTAATTTTTTTTTAAATTAGTGTTTTATACTGTGATTGAAGCTAGCTATTATATAACTTGCAGTTCACATGATTCATAGAAATAACCTGAAAGTTTGAGTTTATCATTTAGTCAAAAACTATAAATTAAAATAAGAATATCTTACGTGAGTTTGAAACGAATCTTTTTCAAGCGGGATTTTAAATATCTTTATATTATATTATATTACATAATTACATATTATATAATATAATATATATTATATTATATTATATTATACTAAAAATTCAATTTTTAAAACATTATACTATTTTCTTAATATTTTGTTTTTTAAACACAATATAATACTAAAAATTAACTCGCTTAATGAGAACAGTACAACTAACAGACCATTTTCAGAAATTTTACTGTAAAGAGAAAAAACTAGACATTGGAATCGGGATAGCTGATTTTAGATAAGTCCGACGTCAATGGTTATAATTAACAAGAACCAAAGCTAAAATGACTTTTTTTTTACTTCCTTCCCTTCAATAAAAGTGTGTTTTTTTTCTGTAAAATTGTTTGAAATATCTGAAAAAAATGGCAAACGTTCCTATATATTTGTTATTAGACTAAACTTCAGAATACGTTCAGTAATATAATATCAGTAATAAATTACTTATAAATTTGGTTTGTTGACTTTTACTCAAATAATCACAAAATAGTATCTTAATAGTCATTAATTACTACAATATCTGCTACTTGATCATCTTCTGTAATGAATGATACAATTGTCAAACTGGCTGGTCGAAAAAGATTGCCGGGAAATTAGAGAAAAAAAATGTTTACGAAATTGAAAACTTACTTCGTTTTTCAAATGCGAGGCAAAATACACATTTATGCTTAACATCGTAGAAACAGATAATACACAGATTTATTAGACCTCCATTCTTGATAAAAATATTAATTGCAATTTATAAGAACTCTGTTTTCCTTCAAACGGTAAAAAATATATATTTTTAAAATAACTATTTGAAATATTCTATTCTGGTATATGGAATAAGGATTAAGTCGGTACTTTGAAGATAAAGTATACGAGGCATGAGCAAACAAATCTTACAAAACGTTTTGTGGTTTCTTTTAACTCGTTGCGTAGGCGACAAATTTGGCACTTTTCTTTCCTAACTCACGCCTATTGCTGTTGAAAGCAAGTTTTCAACAAATTATCTATTAGCTTACTGCAGGTTCTTCATTTTTTTATGACGAATAACTCGTCGGCTCGTTTCTAATACCGCCCCCAAATTGATAAAACTTCAAAAGTGTTAACCGACATTGCGACACTTATCTTTTAAGTGATTAACGGAAGCAAATTAGGAACTAAATTCTTTCTGACGTCATGCGATGACACCTGGTACTGCTTGAGAAAGTGTGTTTTATCGTATATCTTAATAATTTTTAATTATTTGAGATTTTTATAATTAATAAACTTTAAAATAATGTTACTTCTCATAACGTGGCCTTCTACGTTTTAAAATATTAGAATCTAAGGAAGTTATGTGGCAACAAGATTGAATGGGCTATTTTCTTTATGCACTTCTATTCTGCCATGCAATTGAAAAACCTACGTAAGCGAAAAGAATCGAGATAATTATATATTTGACATCTTTATTTTTTTTATAATAATATAGCTAAATATAGCAAAAAAAATTTCAAAAATAAATTTTATTTTTTAAAATTCTATTTTAGCGATCATTGCATTAGCAATAGTTGGAAAATAGTTGTTAAGCCACTATTCTCGGAATCAAACGTGAAGCACTTGCTTTGTTTTTTGAATTGCACGGCAGTATTAGGAACTGAGATTTAGCAAGACAGCTAATTCAGCAATCTTCTGCCAACAGTAGCAAGCCAATGTATCTATTTTTACTGTCTTTCGCAAACTGTGTAACCCAAATTGTTTTTGAATAAATTTTGTATTCATTTGAAGAAATATATTTGTAAATTTTCATAATTCAGAAGGAAAGAAAAGTTTTTCTATTTCATTGGTTTTACTGACAAAAAAGTAAAGTCAAAACTCTCAGAATATGATCATATTTACTGTGTTTCTGCCTCTATGGGAGCACCAAAAAACAAGGTAATTTTTATCGAAGAGCTTTGGTAATAACTCTTTGGCAAAGATAACAAAAAAGTATCGCTTTTGTTACCATGCTGTTTGGTAGTTAATGCGATGGTGGCGTGGTCAAGAAAGCGTCTAATGTTTAAAAAATACTCATAGATGTGAAGAAATAAACAGTCAAAACTTTCAAGAAGCATTTGTTTTGTCCAAACCATGCTACGTAAAGTGCATATATATAGTTAAAAAAGTGGAGGACATTTTGCGCATTTTCTTATAATTTTTCTGCGATGAGTAATTCTTTTTCAGAATATGTTCGGAATTTCTTAGAATTGTGATGAGCAATTCTTTTATCAGAATAAAAAGTGCGCGTCAACTTTTTCAAACATAGCCATTGATGTGAAGAAATATGCACCCAAAAATTTTTAAGCAGTAATTTTCAGTTCAAACAATGCCAGGTTTAGAGCATGTATATAATTAAAATAATGGAGGACGTTTTGTGAATTTTTTGTAACTTTTTCGAATGAGAAATTTATTTAAAACAAGTTTCAGATTAAAAATTAAGCGTCAAATTTTCAAAAATGCCCACATGTGAAGAAATGTATACATTTGTGATTAATACATTTGCAGTTAACATATTGGATGACACTTTGCGAATTTTTTATAAATTTTGCAATGAGGAATTAATTTAAAACTTGTTTCAGATTACAAAGTAAGCTTCAAATTTTTCCAAAATTCTTATAGAATAAAAGAAATAAATGCTCAAAATGTTTAAGAAGCATTTGTTTAGTCCAAACCATGCCACGTTAAAAGCATGTAATATATAATAATAATGAAGAATATACAAAAAATAATAGAGGAGACTTTGTGATTCCTTAATAATATATTGCAAAAAGGAATTCATTTGAAACTCATTTCAAATTACAAAGTGTCATATTTGTCTTCAAAAATGCTAATCTGTGTTACGAAATAAGTACTCAGAATTTTTAAGAAGCAATTTTTAGTCCAAACAATGCTACGTTCTGAGCATACATATAAAAATAAAGGAGGACATTTTGCGAATTTCTTATAATTTTTTCACAATGAAGATTTCGTACGAAATTTGTTTCAGATTACAAATTAAGCGTCAAATTCATCGAAAATATCCATACATATGAAGGATTAAAAACACATAATTTTTAAGAAGCATATGCTTAGTCCAATCCATGATACGTCAAGAGCATTAATATGGCTAACGTAATGAAGGATATATTGCGATTTTTTTTATAATTTTTTGCAATGAAAAAATCATTTGAATCTTGTTCCAGATTACAAAGTGCGAGTCAATTTTTCCAAAATACCAATATGTGTCAATAAATAAGTAATTAAAAGCTTTAATAAGGATTTGCTTACTCCAAACAATGATGTGTTAAGAGTATATGTATAATCGACGAAAAGGAGTAAAATTCGTGAATTTTTTATAATTTTTGGAATGAGGAACTCATTTGAAGCTTGATTAAGATTAAAAAATGAGCGCCAATTTCTTAAAAAAATATTCGCATGTGGGCAGATCTCTAAAACCTTTAACTTTTGATAATAAAAAAAATAATAAAAAATAATAGACTCACTATTTTTACACCTCCAGAATTGTTTGAAAATGTATAAAATATCAAAAAATAATCGTGAACATCGAAAATTTTGATGTTCTTTTAAGTATAAACAAAAAATTAAAATTTTTGAACTAATTTTTTTAGGTTTATATACATTTCATTAAAAACCATAAAAATGACTAAAGTACCATTTATTTAATAAGCATATAAACTTATTGAACCTATTTTTCTTTTATTGAGGAATTTTTTCTTTTTAATAATTTCCCTTTATTTTTCATCAAAAATTATTAGTATCATAAATGAATTGAAAATTTTTAATATTAAGTTAAATTGTTATAAAATGAATAAAAAGGCTTACTTTAATTATTTTCAGTCAAAAAATATCTTCAATTAGTGAAACATAGGGAAAAAACTAAGTTCTAATATGCTACATTCAATTAATTAATCCTGAGGTTACGGTTTAACAGGGTTACGATCTGGACAACCTAGAGAATAGATCGAAAACTTTACTCACACGCAACGCAATGCGATGCACACAACACAGAAAATAAATTAGGCAATGACAAACGTGTGCTCAAAATTTTCATTGATTTTAACATTTACTTTTTAGATCTGCCTCTGATTACGGTCTTGACATCGTAACTGCAACCTCACCGAATCACAGTTTGTGAATATAAACCTAGAAAAATTAGTTCAAAAATTTTAATTATTTGTTCATACTTATAAGGGCATCAAAATTTTCGATGTTCACGATTATTTTCTGATATTTTATACATTTTCAAAGAATTCTGGAGGTGTAAAAATAGTGTGCCTATTATTTTTTATCATTTTTTTATTATCAAAAGTTAAAGGTTTTAGAGATCTGCCCATATGTCAAAAAATATAAATCGAAATTTTTTAGGAAGCAATTTTTTGTCCAAACAATGCTACGTTAAGAGCATACATATAAAAATAATGGAGGACACTTTGCTAATTTTTTGTAGCTTTTTTCAATAAGAAATTTATTTTAAAATTGTTTCAGATTTCAAAGTAATCGTAAAATTTTTCAAAAATACCCATAGATATAAGGAAAAAAATTCCAAACTCTTTTTATATAAGAAGTATTTGTTTAGTCTGAACCATGCGACGTTAACAGCTTATACATAATGGAGGACACTTTGGGATTTTTTATAATTATTTGCAACGAGGAATTCATTTAAAACTTATTGCAGCTTAAAAAGTTATGGTCAATTTTTTTCAAATATACCCATAGTGTTGGAGAAATAAATATCCAAAATTTTTACGAAGCATTTGTTTAGTACAGACTATACTACCTATAGAGTCATACTATGTCATCCCTACTAAGAGCTTATCATTGGGGTTGTGGATTCTCATCCAAACTGAGGAAGTGGGTTGTAGCACTCATCCTATAGACGAGAGGTTATCGATCCGAAGTAGGGTGTAGCACTCATCCCATAGCTCTCTATACTAAGAGAGGTCCTCAACCCTAAAAGTGGGGTGTAGCGGTCATTTTTCTCCTACTGCCGTGCAGTATTTCTATTATGAAGCGTACATACAGAAGGTTCTAATGCCGCTATTACATTCGATGCATGTTCCAGCAGTCTTTCGTAAAATTATACTGTTTTTCAAACTGAAAATAATTTTTAAGCCGTTTTTTTGGATTTTCAAAGAAACCCACATATGTTAGTCAATAAATCAATAAATTTCACTACCTCATAAGAGATGCATAAAACAGCAGCCATCGTATAATATATCTGAGTTTAGTATATTTAAAAATCTTTAATTAAACATTTTAATTCCTCATTTTTATCTCTTTCACACTTGCTGTAATTGATAAATTACAACAGAATATGAAATAATTAACTCTTATCAACCACTTAAATAAGTTGCCATTTTAAATAAACCTATTAGGTAAAAGGCATAGGCATCAAATGGTAAAAATTACCAAATAAATAGTTACATAGTTTAGAGTAAAAACTAATAGTTAATAGTAAATGCAGTTCTGAAAATCATTTTGGGATTTTTATCATATGATACTTATGAACATGGCATAAGAACCATTTATTTGGTTACATTTAATTTCATGATTTGCATTTATTGCCAAATATATTGTAATTAGAACTATAATTTTAAAATGTTTATAGCAAATATCTACATACTTTATAGTAAATAGTAAATACAGTTCTGAAAATCCTTTTGAGATTTTTATCATATAATACTTATGAGCATGGCATAAGAACTATTTATTTGGTTATATTTAATTTTGTGATTTGCATTTGTTGCCAAATGTATTGTAATTAGAACTATAATTTTGAAAAGTAGAATTTTCGGTAAATCGTCATTACTGCGAAAGGTAAAATCACAATTTGAAGGATTTAAACACTGTATATTTTGCTTTAATTTCTAGATTTGTGGTTTCTCTTACCAGAAATGTCTGTACCATGCAAGTATGGTGATTTTTCCAGAATTTTCTTGTTCGTGTAAATATAAGTTAAC